CTCTGATTTAAGGAGAGTTAATTTTTCTCCGTTTTTTTTAATCTCTGATTTGCAATTTAAAGCGGCCTCCATTCCAAGCCCCTGGTCTTTCTCTTAAACCTCTGATTTATGCTGTCCCATGTCACTATTGACCCCCCCCACCTGAAGATGCTCTTTTCCTACTTAATTTAAGCATTGTTGCATTTTCTAGAAAAAGAAAAGAAAAAAAGGAGAAAAAAATGAAAAGAAAAAAATCTTAAAAAAAAAATCTTAGCCAGGTCTCTATTGTTGCTTCGCATTTCACTTCACGGTAGTGTGTGTGTGTGTGTGTGTGTGTGTGTGTGTGTGTGTGTGTAGTGTGCCGGTGTGTGTGTGTGTATGTGTTTTTAATACATGCATAAACTTTTGGTGCCTCTCTCCTCTGCCTAGGCTTTTCTCCTATCCTCTCTTCCTGCTCTCCTTGCCCTGCTCATCACTTTCCCCTGGTTTTTTTTCCTCCCTTCCTCCCCTCTGCCTCCCTCCACCTCCCCCTTTTCTTTTTTGCTGAATCTTATTGATCCAGAAGGTGGCTAATTAGCCCTTCCCGTCGTGCCTGGGTAATGAAGCACATGCGCACTGAATTAATCACAGCCATTTTTTGCAGGAAACTAATTAGCAGAATAAAGATCCAAAGACTTTTTTTTCTTTTCACTCATCAGCTCCCACTTCCAGCGCGTCCCCTCCGACCGCTGCAGCCGCCGCCGCCGCCGCCTCCTCCTCCTCCTCCTCCCGGCCGCAGCCGCCGCCGCCGCCGCCTGCTTTGCATCCCAATTACAGCCTAGAGCCGCTGCCGCCGCCGCCGCCGCTTCTCCTCCGTGGCCCCTGCCCGCTCCGGGGGCTGTAAACTCCCCGCCAACCATGCTGCTCGGCGGCAGCGGCGGCGGCGGCTCCGGCTCCCCGGCTGCGGCCGCCTCCCGCCCCGGGCTCCGCCGAGCGCGCTCCAGCTCCGCCGCCGCCGCCGCCAGCAGCGCGTCCTCCGCCGCCGCCCCCCGCCAGCCGCCGCTGCTGCCTTGATGGGCTCCGCGGCCCGAGCGCCTCTTTTCGGGATTAAAAGCGCCGCCAGCTCCCGCCGCCGCCGCCGCCGCCAGCAGCACCGCTGCAGCCGCCGCCGCCGGAGGAGCAACCGCGTAAGTGGCAACTTTTCCCTCTTTTTTTTTCCTCCTCTTCCCGCCGCCGCCGCCTGCTCCTCCTCCTCCCGCCGCCGCCCGGACGCGGGGCTCCTCGGGGCGCCCGGGCTGCTTTGCATGGGGCTCGTCCTGCCCCCTCCCGGCTCCCGCGCCCGGCCGCCGCCGCCCGCGCTCCCCGCGCCCGTGCCCTGCTCGCTCGCCGCGTCCCGCTCGCCTGCCCCCTGCGCCAAACTTTCTCTTTCTCTTTTCTTCCTCCTCCTCCTCCCGCCACCGCCGAACCCGGGCCGCCCCCTCCTCCTCGCTCGCCGCGTCCCGCTCGCCTGCCCCCTGCGCCAAACTTTCTCTTTCTCTTTTCTTCCTCCTCCTCCTCCCGCCACCGCCGAACCCGGGCCGCCCCCTCCTCCGCGGCCCCCGCGCAGCCGCCGGCGACCCCCGGGAGGGTGGAGGCGCCCGGGGCGAGGCCCGCGCGGGGACTTTGGAGGCGCCGCCGGGCAGGGCAGGGCCGGCCGGGGTGCGGGGCCCGGGTGGAGGAGGCGCGCGGCCCCGGGTCCCCGCGGCCAGACAAAGGCGGCGACTGGCGGGGGTGGGGGTCCCGGTGCAGCGTGCCCCCCCTCCTATTGCGCCCCACCCCGATCGGTGCCGGGGCCCTGGGCGGAGCGCGCTCCCGGCCCGGAGCTGCCCCGCTGGCCGGGCGCCTGCCTTCCTCCCGGGGCCGCTCCGGGGGCCGCGGAGCTCGGTGGTAGTCCGGGGTTCGGGAGGGGGCGAGGCGGCCGCGCCGAGCTCTACCTGGGCGCTCTCTGCCCGGCCGGGTGAGCAGCGCCAGGAACGCGCAAAGGGGCTGCGCTCTGGACACTAGGGGCTCCCGGGGGTCGGGGCCGCGCTGCCGGCCAGGGCCGGAGCCAGCCTTGCCGGCCTCCTCGGCCAGCTGAGTTGGGAGGCAAACACCGGATCGGAGGACTTTTTTTTTTTTTCTCTCCTCCTCCTCTCTCCTTCTCTCTCTCTCTCTCTCTCTCTCTCTCTCTCTCTCTCTCTCTCTCTCTCTGCGAAACTGGGATTGTTTACGTTCGGTTCCCCACGCTCACCCCTCACCCCTTGCCCCACTCCACTAGATGCAAAAAAGCACGTTCCTAATTTTACGATATACATTTTAATGTATAGAATCTTTTGCATGTCAGTTGGAGGGTAGGTCTAAGAGTGTTTTATGCAGTGCACTTGAATTGTGTTTGGGGCTATTAAAATACTGTGTGTGTTTTTTTTTTGTTTTGTTTTGTTTTTTTACTTTGTGAGTCAATCTGTTGCTCAAAACCTGACTTTTGTGAAATGTGCAATTCCTTCAACTGTGGCAAATTCGACTATGGTTATGAGTGCTTCCCCATTCTTAACTTTTCCCCCTCATTACTTTGTAGTAGGGGAAATATGCCAATTTTTATTGGTTTCAATTACTAAAAATTGTTCTAAGGACTATATGGAAGGAGGAAACTGATTGCCATTTTCTGGCCTTCTGTTGGTGACTTTTGAAAGGGGGGCTCGTTAAATACCTTTGAAGAATATGTCATATTGTGGCTCTAGTGCAAATTACAGAACATAATTCACTTTGGAGTTTTAAGAAAGGCTCAAGCCCTTTGAGGTCATTGAGGATTTATTATGTTTTTCTATTATATATATATAAGATTTACATATATATATATAAAATCTTTTCTACCTGTTTTGGGTGTATGGCTAGTTCCTGGCCAACTTTTTCGGAGGTCCTGGGAAAGAAGCTTGGGAAATGGTGGAGGAGAGACTGATCAATGTGAATAATCAATAGAGCCATGTGCCGCAATATTGTACCTACATTTACTGTAAATTTTTACAATACCTGCAGTGTGCGTGCTCCAGTGTCTTGGGTGGTTTCTTCTAACAGATTTAGGGCAGAATAACCAGAATTTACGGCTCAGGTTTCCGGAACAATATAAGGGAAATTCACTCCATAGTGGCTCATGTTATAACCCCTTTATTTTACTGAATGTGTGTGTGTGTGTGTGTGTTTGTTTACGTGTGAGGATTTCAAATGCTGAGTCCCCAAAGTGTATCCTCCTGAGTTGGAGGGAAGTAGGTACCAGCTCAGGACTTCCCGGGTGGGTATTGGGTTATCGAATCAGGGCTTGAGCCTTCCTCTTCTTGTGATGTTCTCTTCGATTTTTTAAACTAGTACAAGTAGAGGTAGGAATATAAAAGAGTAAAACATTGGAGATTGAAGCAATATCAAAAGCCAGACTGGCATGCTCATGAGTGTGTGTGTGTGTGTGTGTGTGTGTGTGTGTGTGTGTGTGTGAGAGAGAGAGAGAGAGAGAGAGAGAGAGAGAGAGAGAGAGAGAGAGAGAGAGAGAGAGAGAGGAGAACAGAAGACAGCTATCTTACAGTCAGCCTGAATGGTGGTGGGTGAATCCATATTTGGAGATTATTTTGAAATAGTCTTGAAAATGGTTCGGAACAGGATTTCGCAAAAAGTGTACATGAAGTCATTTTTGAAAGGATTGTGGTTTGGGGAGATGAGGTGTGGGCAGGAAAGCAGTGGAGGCCAGCAGCCTTCCTCTTGTCTGTGTGTCTCCTCCCTTCCCCCCTCCCTGGGTTTTAGTTTTTAATTACTTAATGCTGAAACACACTGGGCTTATATAAATATTTGCAAATGCTCTTTCCTATTGATTTCTCTGAATAAACTGCCCTGCTCTGGTCCAGAGAGGAGGCGATTCAGATCTGTGGGCTTTTTAAACATAAAGTCTCCAAAGGAGTGTTTGTGTATGTGTATGTTGGTGGTTAGAGCTGTAGGCATGAAGATATGGTGGGGGACACAGGGAGAGTTTAGGGTCTTAGTGGTATGGACTGAGAAAGCTGGGCGGGAGCTGGTCTTATGGCCTGGTTGTCCTGACAGATTGTGTGTGTGGTGTTTCTGAACGTATTTGTACCCCCCATTAAATATGGAACAGTTTTTCAGGGCTTGGTGACTGCCTTCCTCCTCAGGGTCACATTGAGTGCTAATCTGACCCAAGGTGCAGGAATCCTGCAATGGGGAAA